GGCGAAACCACTGAGCTAAATCCCTGGCCTTATAACATTTTTATTTTTAAGCACAAATAAGGAAAAGGCTGGTGGAAGTTGGGGCAACTTTTAAGACAAAACAATGCTAAAGAATAAATTTAGATATACCTGAGTAAGGATTACCAGGGAAGGATGGAAAAGCTCTGGAATTAGGCAGAGGTGGAGGTTGCACGGAACGGTGAGTATACTAACTGCTCTCTTAGAGAGGCTTACATAGACATATATATATATATATATATATATATATATATATATATATTTTTTTTTTGGTACCAGGGATCGAACTCGGGTCCTTGCGCTTACACAGCAGGTGGCGAAACCACTCAGCTAAATCCCCGGCCCAATTTTATATATTTTTTAATGTGTACACCTGACATTAAATACAAGGATACCAGAAATATGGCTGCAGATTGTTTGCATGGCACATGGACACACACACTTGTTCCACCTGTGGGCAGTGTTCCCCCAGGCTGGGCCTCTGCTCTTCTCTGCTGGTCTTGGGAGGTAGTGTCCCTTGGGCCCTTCAGGTGCTCTTGCTGCATGCTTACGATGCCACTTGAAGGATAGCAACACCCCAGCCTGCACACACTAACCTGCAGGCCTGGGGTCTGGGGTTTCTTTTAAAGCTGCATTCAAAGTCCCTATGCATTTTCTCTCCTGAGGTCTGCCTGGTGGTCTCATTAAATAATAAGCCACATGGGCTGGGGCCCCTGACCTGCTCAACCTCATCAACATCTATTTCCCTTGATCTTTTAGAAAGAAATGATAGTTTATTCCCTGGGAATGGTTGCTAGGAGATTACCAGACAAATAGAAGTGATTAATAAGGAATTAAATTAATGTCACCCATCAGCTGACAATAGGGACAAGCATCCAAACATTGGGTGTATGTCCACAGGTGCCGCGTGTGTGCCTATGTGTGTGCATATAATTGTGCATAGCTATTTGTGTATCCTTCTATGCTTGTGTACCGAGGCTACAAACACGTGTGCCTGCCTGTTGTGTGTACACATGTGCTTGTGTGTTTGCATGTGTGTGCATCTATGTACACAACCCACCCCCACGCACATGTGGGAGTGAGAAAGACTCCCACGAAGAAAGGGCAGGGATGGAAGACAGATGTGCCACCCTTTACGCAGTGGGTGTGAATTGGAGTTTTATATACTGTACAAGCTTTAATGCCCCGGGGGACCCCATTTTTCAAAGAAGCTCTTTGGAGTCTATGTTTGCAGATGACTTTATAATGTGAACAATTATTTCCTAATTCCTGTTTGGAAAATTAATCTTCTGGCATCTCAAAGTGTGGCATAGAGTTTCGGAGCCAGGTCAGTGGCTAATGTCTGGCTTAGCACTTGAAGACAGGCCTGAGGGGATTGGTGAAGTCAATCACGGTACTTCAGTGAAATAATATTCTTATGAAAACAGACATGAACATCAACCCAGACATTCCTGAAAATACAGTTAAGCAGCAATGACAACAAAAACAGGTTACAAAACTATATTCATAGCACGATCCGGCTTTTACACAGTGAACTCTGCACAGCCCTCTGTTTGAAGACACCTGGGGGACTGCACACACCAGCGCCAAGTGTGCCAATTTCTGACAGTGGGACTGTGGGTGTGTTTGCCCCCTTTCTTTCTCTCGTCTATCATTCCTTTTTTGTTTTCTTTTTGCAGTACTGAGTATCGATCCCAGAACCTCTGTACTGAGCTACACGTCCACCCTTTTTTTATTTTTTATTTTGAGACAGGATCTCACTAACCAGGCTGGGCTCGAACTTGACACCTCCTCCCTCAGCCTCCCAGAGTGCTGGCATCACAGGCCTGTGCCACCATCTCCAGCTGTCTTGTCTCTATTTTTCCATGAGGAACAGCTGTAGCTTATGTAATGATAAAAAGGTACCAAGAAAAATATCAATCGCACTGAGGGTCTCCAGACCCTCCCCCCTCAATGCTGGGGGAAGGATGGCTATAGGGTCTTTGGAAGAAAGGAACTGGAAAGCCAAAGGCTCCCTGTCCTTGGTCCCGACCCTCAGGCTCCCCGAAGGTGCTGGTGGCACTTGGGTGACAGAGAGGAGGGTCCACTCTGCGCATGTCCTGCCCCTGCTTGTGGGAGAACCAAACTAAATTCCTCCCCCACCTGAGCCCTCCTCACCATTTCTCCCAGCGGGTCTTACGCTCACCTCACCCGTGCTGGGGGGACAGGTGAAGTCCCCAAGTGCCTCTACTCTCAGATGATGCTGACTGGGGCGGTGGGAAGGGCCCAGTGACCCAGCCAGGACAGAAGCATGGCTTGGGCTGTTGTCATCACTTGTCAGCTCCTTCCCGATGGTGGTCCCTGGTGGCTCAGACGGACAAAGCGAGAGCGGGTGTAGGCTCAGGCCAGTGTGTGTGTCGCTTGGACTTCGACAGTTCAGCTGGACAGCCAACTGAGCTGGCTTCGGGAGCACACTTCTGGGTGTGCCTGGGTAGCTCATGGAGGCATCACTTTGGGGCCTATGTCTGGTCCCTGTCCGGCACTGCTCACCTGCTCTGCTTCCCTAACACCATGCACTGAGCAGCTTTCCTCCACATGCCTTCCACCATGATGTTCCTGCCTTGCAGCCTGCCTAAAACTTCTGAATCCCGAGCCAAATAGCCCTCTCCTCTTTTAAACTGTGGGTGTTGGGTACTCTGTCCCTGGGACAGGAAGGCTGACAGGTACGGATGGTGCAGCCCAGTCAAACCCGGCTGACATGGCTGTCATGGTGAAGCACCACGGGTGGTCAGTCTGGTCCCATCGTTGACTCATTATTTTTTTCTTTCCATCTCACCCAACTCCACAAAATGGAAACAGATAAGAAACCCTAAGTCTGACCACAAAGCCACCACAAAACCAAAGCGCTTCGAGCTATGTCTAGGAGCTGGCTCTTGGTTCCAGACAGACGAAGCCCCACCCTGTTGCTGAGGAGCTTGGGTCCTGTTCGTGATGAACACTGGACAGAGTGTGACAGAGATGGGCTTGTTGGCCCTGCAGTGTGCCCTGAACTGAGCATAGTGGGGAAGACTTTGGAGAAGCCACCCCAGTGTCCTTCTCTCTCCTGGCCCCACTTCCTCCTCCCGCTCAGCCTATGTGGGCTACAGGGGGCCCAGGGTGGCTGCACAGCTCTGAGCTAAACAAACTCCAGAAAGGGCAGGGAGTCTCCAGTGGGTTGCTCTCAGACTTTAATTCCAGAGGGTGAAATTTAAAAGACCCTTCCATTTGTTCAGCTCAAACTCCCTCTGCCCTGAGCACACAGCATCCCTCCAAGGAGGCAGGACAGGCAGCACTGAGAGTGAGTGGCCCTGCTAACTGTTAAGGGCCGATCTGCTGTAGCACCCAGGGTCCAGCCTGGGGTGGTGGCTGTATTCTGCCATTACTGGCCACCCTGCTAGAGCACAGCTATGGCTCCCTTTCATATAAGCACAAGCATCCACAGTCTGCCTTAATTTCCAACAGGAGCAGGAGCAACCCAGAGGGAATTGAACCAAGGGGGAGATGCCCCCCACCCTGCAGAGAATGTTCTGACACAGGGCTTGTGGGTGGTGGGCTGCTATGACCAGAGAACCCAGACTGGGCTCTACCTCCCTGGGCCACTAGGAGCATCCACACGTGCACCCTCATGAGAGGCAGTGAGACATGGGTGCAGGGCAGTCCCCAGAGGAAGCAGACCCATCCAGGCAGCCCAGATCTCTATGCTGAATGCCCTGGGTCCCACACATGAGACACTGTGGATGCTCAGCTGGGCGTGTGAGCTGGTGCAATGGGGAAGCCTTACACACCTGTCTCGGAAAGCTTTGCTGTCCCCAACTCTGCTCCTGGTGCTCTGTTCTCTTCCTATCAGAGTTTAACTCAGCAACTCAGGCCAAACTGTCCCTGCTGCAGGCCCAGGAGCAGGCAGGGGACCAGAGAGGGCTCTTGCTTAGGGTTACCCCAGGGCTGGTCTCTGCACTGCCTTCTGAGGAAAGGCCATGAGCATGATAAGTGGAGAAGGGGTGCAGGCAGCAGGAAAGCACGAGGGAGCAGAGGATGCCCCATACGAAGCCACCAGGGGCACGGAGTCCCCACCCCACCCACCAGGGAGCTACTTCTTCCTCCAGCCCAGCTTCGTGGAAACCTGGACCAGGTCTGCGGCTTGGACTCTGGCCTGTGTCAGAAGCAGGATGAAAGGAGGGGTGAAGGGAACCCTCCGCTTGCTGGGGCCCCTTCAGCCAGGACTCTTGCAGAGCCTGAGAGAGTCTGGCCCTAGGCCCTCTGATGGAGTTTTCTTTTATATTTATTAACCCACTTTCTCTCTTGGCATTCAGAGCAAGGAGGAAGCCTCGGCCAGAGCTATGAATAGGCCAAGGCGGTCCCCGGGGAGCAGAATGAGCTCATGCCTACAGCACAGGTGCCAAGAGCAATAAAGTTTCCCAGCTGGGCTGGACCAGGCTACAGCCACCTTGGGGAGCGGAAGGGGCACCTCGGCTGAGCCCAGTGCCACCTTCCCTCCTGCTGCCCAACCTGGCCACCTGGGCCCCAGCCAGAGACAGAGCCTGAGGTCATGTGGAGTTACTCAGCCCTAGGTCAGACCTGACGGGAGCTGCCGAGGAAGAGGTGGGGGAGGGATTGGCACAATGACATGGAATATAAATGACTCCTGTAAACAGAGAGTTTAATAAAAAGGCAGTGAGGGAATTTATGGGCAACCCAAGGATAATTAAAATTATTTATCTACTTACCTCCCTTGCTGGCTGATCAGTCTATTAATTATCTATTATACACCCGCTGATTTGCATTTTAGTTAGGGGATTGGGTAAGGGCAGGTAAAAAACACAGAGGATTTAGGGAGCCAAGCATTGGGGGCCTGTGTGAACCCCTGCTGATACTCATCCATGCATCACTCCCATGCTCTGGGCCTCCCCGAGGCTCCAAGAGCCAGCAGGGGCCTAGTAGAAAGTGTCGCACAAAGGGGTACACACCTGTGTGCCGTGCAGGAGGGACACTCCTGGAGGACAGGATCCCTCGGAGGAGCCTGCAGACCAGCTAGCTCCAGGGAAGGCCTTCAGGGTTTCCTCTGGTGGTTCTGACTTCACGCTGCATTTTAAGAAAGAAAACAAGAGAACAAAATCATTTTCAATCTCTGAATACCTGGAATGCATCAGGCACACATCGTCCCTTGCTCTTGATTAAAAATATCACAGGACCGAGTGTCATGGGAACCGTGTCTGGTGCATGCTGCAAATGAGAGAAGCGTTAGGCGGGGAGTTTTAACAAGGTGGCTCTGTCTACCACCAAGCATGGAAAGGATGCTCTGCACTGTGGCTCTGGGTGCTGTAGGTGACATCTGAGCTGTGAGGTGTAATGCTGGACCAGAGGGGTGGGACGCTGGTGGGCAAGGGGGTCAGCTGGCCAGGATGGACCCACAGGTGGGATGGCCCATGTTTCCGATCCCCAAGATGGGTCAATTCTCCTCTTGCGCCCGAATCTCCAGTACCACCCTGATGCAATGTTGGCTCCCACCACAGGGCTCTATTCCAAGGAAATGTCAAGCCCGCAGAGTTGACAGACCCAAAGTACGCAGTTTATCCAGGCCGCCCACCCCCAAACCTGCCAGCATCAGCACAGCCTCCTGCATGGTCCTGAGCTGTGTCTAGCAGCTGAGTGTGGATGCCCCTGATCTCTAGCTCTCAGCTAGACACTGGGGTGCAGGACAAGGTCAAGGGAGACTGGCTTCTGCCTCTCTGCTGTTCACTCTGCTGGGCTGTGTTGGCTGCAGGTAAAGACTTGGCTGTCTGTGTCCCCAGAATTCTTATGAGGAAGCCCTACAGCTCACTGGGACAGTGTTTGCAGAGGCCCCCGGGGAGGTGATCAGGCCACGCGGATAGCGCTCACAGGACAGGCTTGGTGACTTCTCAGAAGTCCCCCCAGTCTTCCCCATGTGAGAAGACATCAGACCTGCTGGCACCTTGACTGTGGACTTCCTAGTCTCCAGAACTCTGAGAAGTAAATATTTGTTGTTTATGTCACCCTGTGCATGGTATTTGTGTCACTCCATCTCCCTTCCTCTCCGACCCTTCCTTGTCCTCCCATCAGGACAGCCCCCAGCAGCTGGCTGTTCACCCAGCCTCCACATGGGTGGCTGCTACCCAGGCCGGGGCTCTCCATGGAGGAAGCTAGCTCTGCTGTTCTGGTGTGACACTAACAAGCCCCCCACCAGTGCTGCCTCAACTCCCACCCCATACGCCATCAAAGACCTAATGAAAGCGAGGGACCTGTCTTCCACGAGACACACCGCAACATGGCTCCCTGTTTTCAAGAGTTCACAGCCATGTGGGCCCATCTGCTGAGATCTTGGAGTCTTGGGGCATTTCATGGTCCTTTTTTGGGTGTCCCAGTTGGCCATCCATAGTCCCTAGAGGTCCAGCCTGACTGGAATCTTGGTTTTGCCTTGACGGTATTTAGCAATTGGGTTTAACATCTAGAGTTGGTTAACATTAGTAACGATGAGCTCTGCCCTGGGAATTTCAGCCCCAACCTCTGCCTGAGGCTATAGCTTGTGTCTGCCACACAGATGTCAGATTGGCAGCCCCCACAATTGTGTGGTCCTGGCCACAAAATCAGTCTATCTGTCCATCCCTCTATTTCTCCACCTGTCCATCCATCCATCCATCTATCTGGCTTCTTTTATCGGTTCGTTTTACTGAGCCTATTGAGTCTTCTTGGGCCCCTCCCAGATTAGACTCCTAGAGTTGACCTTGTTCATCAACAGAGCCCAGAATATCACTCCTCTACATTTGGCCCCACACCCCATTCTTGCTGAGAAGGGGAGCAGTGGCCTAACAGTAGCAGCAAAATGGGAGGCGGAAGGAGGCAGCAAGGAGCTGCAGGTCTACTTGGGGACAAGGACTGCACAGTCACAAACCTGGAACCTGGTAGCTGTCCTGAGTCTATGTGAAATCGAGTGGGCTGTATTGAGGATACCCCAGCCCCGGCTTCTACTTAAGTCTCAAAACCCTTCCCCATCAGTTCTGGGCTGTCTGAGTCCGCAGGATAGTTGTGTCCAGCCCACTTCTCTGCCCCTACTGGCCCCTCCTCCCCTTTCTGGCTATCACTTCTCAGTTCTGATGATGTATCAATAACTGCAAAGCAAAATGCCACAGTTAGCAGCGCCGCTGTACTGTAACTAATCGTTTTCTGAATCGATTCTCGGGGTTGTGTGTGTGCAGCGAGGTGGGGCAGCATCTCTGCAGCTGCTGCAGCCTCTGGGAATTAGGCACACCAGAGAAGTGCCAAGGGACAAAGAAGACAGTTGGGGTGGGACCAGGGAGGGATAAGGACGGAGCAGATTTTTTGAAAAAGAGGGCCCATAGAGATTACTCTTTATCATAGAAAGCCCATAGAGAATGAGATGAGCCCACCCTGGCTTGCCTTCCCATGGCAGCACAGGGCACAGGCAGGGAGGGACCAGAGCCTGAGAGCCTCAGACGAGGATAGGCTTAGTGGGCAGGGGTGCCCACTCAGCCAGACCTGCCTCCAGGGCCTGGGCACTAGTTTGTGTCCATTTGAATCAGGACACCAGGCCAGACAGCCCAGGGCTCTGAGATGGGGCATCCACAGATGGCACGGCTGGCTCTCAGGTGGCAGATGCCTTCCTGGGATAGGGACACAGGAAAAGGGCTGACTACCTTCCACCCACCTGTTTTAGGAACACAAAAGACGCAGGTCCAGGAACCTCCCAGACTCCCCTGTGCACATAAAAAGACCTCAGGCATCTCTGGAGTTCATGCACTTGAGATTTTATTGGCCCCATTAACTGTGTTGGTGCCTTGGAGTCTTCCTTGGGCCAGGCCCACACACACAGGGGGTGGATTCCCTGCACACATGGCTGTGGCCTCCTCATGGAGAAAGGAGCCACAGCAGTAGGAGAGCATGGACAGGGAGCTGAGGCAAAGCCTCAGGTCTACGTAGGGGGTCTCTTGGCAATGTGATTTGCTAGCATTTATGGTGATCCTTGGGGAAACTGAGCCACAGACAACTAGAGGACCCTGCCCCAAAGCACACAACTCACCCAGTGGCAGAGTGAGAACTCAAGGCCAGGGCATCTGACTTGAGAGCTTAGCTCATAATAGGCACACTGTCTTTTGTCTACCCAGTTGGTAGCCTAACCCAGTTGGTGACTCACTTTCCCTCTCTATCATATGAACTCTAACAGCTGCCTCCTTTGCACAGCCCCAGTGGGGCAGGAACCATCAGGAGGTGAGGCAGCAGGGCCTGGGCAGGCAGCCCCAATCCTAGGGGCCTGCTTAGCAAAGAGCCAGAGAAGTGTCTACAAACTTTCCAAGCACAGACCCCACTGCTGAGTATTAGTCCAGTGCACAGGACCGTACTTCATTCCTCTACTCACACACTGTCCATCCAGCCATCCTTCTCTGGGCATGTGTACTCGGGTCTTCCCATCTGGGTCCTCACCCCACTCTCTCAGGCAGGGCCACTGCGGCCAGACCAGGGCTGGCCTGTCTGGGGGTAAGGGAGTGGTCAGAGAGCCCCTAAAATCCCCAAAAGGTCCAGGAACACTCTGGAGACTGAGAAGAGGGACGAGGCCGGTAGGGTCCTTTCTCTTGTTGGAGACACGGTGCACGGCGGGGCAGGCCAGGCCAGGGTCTGCTGTTTGCATTGCTTGTCCAGCGCCTCTGTCTTCTGTTGTGAACCCTGGGGGACTTCGGCTCTAAGCTCTGGTCAGCAACGTCTTCACCTGGGACTGAGGGCTTGCTCCTAAGTTCTGGAGCCCACGAGAACCTCTCCAGGCTCAGGGCTCCCGGGGTCCCATCTTCTGCCTCTAGGAGCTCCTGTGCAGCTAAATGCAAGTCCAGCTGTCCCTAGTATCCATGAGGAATGGTTTCAGGACACCCAAAAGATACCCAAATCTGCAAATGCTCAAGTTCCTAATATAAAATAGTGTAATATTTGCATACAGCCTTTGTGAATTCCCCTGTATACTTGAAATTATCTCTCGATTATATATAATACCAAATACAACGTAAGTGCTATGTAAATAGCTGCCATACTATATTATTTAGTAAATAATAACAAGAAAAAAAGCCCATGTGTGTTCAGTAGAGAAGCCATTGTTTCTTCAGAATATTTTCAACTGGTGATTGGTTGAACTGAAGATGAGCAACCCACAGATATGGAGGGCCACTGTATTTTCCCAGCTTAGAGAAGATCTACCTCTTCTTCCAGGATTGCCTGAGCATCTGCAGTCCTGCCAAGCTGAGCCTGGAGACCTGGGGCTGGGCAGCCTGGGAGGACAGTGAGGGTCACAGTCCCCACACAGGCAATTTAGCCACAGGGTCCCCATGCCTTGTGAGGTGCCACAGGCAATGGGGCCTAACAAGAAAGTCAAAAGTTTGTGAATAGCTTACTTTAAAAAAAAAAAAAAAAAAGAAGGTAAAATGGTTTCAGGTTTGGCCCTAAATCTTTCCCAGGTGCAGGCTGCTTTCCTGAGTAGTGGGAGGCGGTAGAGTCAGAGTGCCCAGGAGCAGCGTAACCCACGCCTGCCAATAAATAGGAAAGAGGCAAAGAATCAGGCAGTCCCAGCCTCCACAAGACGCCATGTCTGGCTCTCACGGGGAAAAGGCGGAGGACAGGATGAGACAGGTTAACACTGATGGCTTGGGACTCGAACAGTCCAGGTGCTTTGGAGAGCCACGGGCAGGACCCGGAACATTCTCAGACCCGGCCCCTCCCTGCCAGGTACGAAGTTGCTCCCAAAGAGACTGGCGTTGAGAGCTCCACTGACCCATTCTCCAAGCAGCACACACTGCGAACATCCTGCGTGCTTGTCGGTGGAAGCGCGGAGAGCAGACGGGGTGGATCCCTAAGACAAATTTCCATACAGCAGCAGATCAAAGGGAGGGATCAGAAACATCCGCTGGCACAGAGAAGCCCCAAAGTCATAATGCTGAACGCAAGAAGCAAGTCACAGAAAGAGATCAGGCATGTGTGTGCGCTTGAAAGAGACACGCACAGTGTCATCCGTCACTCTTGGTTATGTGTGTACGTATGTGTTTTTTCAGGGGACAAAATTAATAGAC